CTTTCCATACATGTTTTAGTATCATTTTAACATGTTCTAAGACTATTTTGGGTTCACTTTGCCATATCCTTCATGCTTTGTATAGCTGTAGTGCGATTGACCTTGTTAGCTTTGTGTTTAGATGCTCCATAACATGCTTCATTTGAGTTGTGTACTTGATTTGGCATCATTTAATACTTTATTTCAGAGCATGTAGCATTGCCATATCCCCACTTCATTCACTCTTTAAGTGTCTTTGAATGTTGTGCATTGTAGCCTCTTTTATGGCCATGTGTGTATGCTTGCATGCTTAGGCCTTTGAGCCCTCATCTCAGCATGTTTTGGTCATTGTTTTGACCTATTTAAGCTATGTCCATGTTTGCTTCATGCATTTGTGCCATGTATTACATGCTTCCTTTGTAATCCTCTTTACTAGCCTTATGCCTTAAGGACTGTAGCATGCTATGCTTGTATTATTTGAGTGGTTTGGCACCATTTCTCACTTAATTTCAGTGTGCGTAGTGTTGTTACACTTCCATGGTTTTCACTCTTTAAGTGATCTTGAGAGTTGTACCTTAGTGCCTTAATTGGTGAGCCAATTAGCATGCATGTTTGCATGTGTTTTTTGTTGCCTTTGTTTTAGCATTATGGCCACTGTTTGGGCGTGGCTGAGGTCTGTTCATTTTGGTTTAAGTCCATTGAGCATGTTTTGTTGCATGTTGTTTGCATGCCTATATTACATCGCATTCAGCATGCTATGTTCGTCGCATTGTGTATGCCTTATACCTTGCATTGTGTATGCTTAGGTTACATCATTGCATTGTGCATGCTAATTGATATTTGCATTGTGTATGCTAGTTGTTGCATGCATTAGCATTGTGCATGCCACTAGCCTTGTTAGGTTGTTCATGTTGCATTGCATGTAGTTGCATTGCATTGAGTATGCCATGCTTGTTGTTGCATTGTTGTTTGGAATAGGTGTTAGTCCAAACACGGGAAAAGAGGGACGTTTCATACTTCAAGTGATGAAACGTGCCTTAATTCCCGGTCGTCGATGCTCTTGATCATACATGACAGAGTTCTAGGCTTTATGTATTTACTTGTGCATTCATTTTTTACGTTGAATTATGCAACTTCGCCTCTCGGCTATCATGCATTGAAATGCGTGATTGATGGCCCGAGGGTCGTGAACTACACTCCCTTGAGCTCATGACATGATAGGGAGGGTGGTTGTGCACACATATCTTGCAAATACATTGCCATGCCCTTTCTTGCTCTCTGTTGCAGCAAACTGGAATTCAGCAGCAACAGCTAGTCGGCCAGCCAGAAAAACTAGCTGGCTGACCACTTTTTCTAGCTTTCTGCAAAGAAAGTGGCCGGCAGGTGGCTGGAGAGACCAAAAGTGGTCGGCCACCCTCCCACAAGACTCCCAAGGTGAAGTTTTAGCTTTCTGGAGCTTGGTGTAGTGTTCTGAGAACAAATGAAAACAGAGGCAAATCGAGGCATCGCAGTGGATTTCCAAACGAGGCGACCGAGCATGCATGCATTCTCTCCTTCTGAGGCTCCTGATTTACTACTTTCCTTAGCTGCCATGCTTAGATAGCCAGCTTTTGCTTTGTTTTGTACTTTAATAGTTAATGCGTTTAGCTATTTCAATTTGTTTTGTAATAATTAGTTAACTAGGATTAGTCCAATAATTTGTTGTGTAATAATTAGTTTAATTAGCTTAGACTAGCTAGTTAGCTTCTTATTCGGTCTCTCCCTCGAGAGGGCGTAATGCTGTAATAAGCGTGCGTGTGTGTGATGCATGTCTTCCAACCCCCATTTCTTTCTCTTTTTTACTTAACCGCTTACGATGGTTAGTTTTAGGGCATATTTCATTTAGCATACCTTATGCTTGCATGCGTGCATCCATTCATCTGTATTGCATCCACCGGGCTCGGCGCATCGTACTAACTGCATTGTATTTTCAATACATTTATTTGAATACATGTACCAAGTTGCATTTCACATGACATTCTAGATACCCGAGCCTATTTTAGTTGTATTTTCACATGTGTTGCATTAGCCATCTTAAACATGAACTAGGATCATGCATGATTTCTAACTAGTTCTTTGTTTTGGCTCGGAGTACACTGTGAGTGTTTACGATTGATTTTAATTTTGACATTTTCTTTATGAGGGTTATTATTTACACTCACCTTATTTCTTTAGATTCCCATTTCTTTTATTTTTTTTAATTATAATTTTATCTAAAAATAAAATTTCATTTTTATCCTCATTTCAAACCCTCTAATCCCAATTCCCCAAATCTTAACCCTAATTCCCTCACTTCCAATAGCCACAGCTCACCCTGCTCACCCCCAATACCGACCGTCCAACCACCACCACATCGCAGCACCACCGTCACCCCACCACCGCCATCATCGCAACACTCGCTCTCTTTCTCCTTCTTCTTCTTTCTACCATCGCGCCACTACCATCACCGCCCACCACCTATTCACCGCTGCCATCACCGCCCACCACCTATCACCGCTGCCATCACCTATCGCTACTGCCATCACCATCCTTCTATTCATCTTCCTTCGCGATCCCTAGCTGCCGCTAGCCGTCGCCGCTGTGATTGAAAATGGTTGCTGCGATTCCGAGATCTTGGAAAGAAAAGATTGAAAATGGTTGTTGCGATTCCGTTCATCTTCTTCCTCATCCTCGTCTCCTAAAACCCTAACCCTAATTCTATCACCGCCCATCATCACCGTCGGCCACGCCTTCCCCCACCCGACGGTCGAGATCTATGGAAATGGGGGTTCACAATTCCGTGATCGAAGAAGATGGTTCGCGATGAAAGAAAATGGTTTCATCACTCCACCGTTGCTGTGATTGAAAATGGGAAGGCAATGGTGATAGCGGCGGAGTGATGAGCTGGGAAGGCGGGTGGCGGCCGACGGTGAGAAGACAGCAACGGTGGCGGCCGGCAATGAGAATAGGCTATTAGAAGATGAGTTGGGGGTTCAAAGAAGAGGGGTATAGGCAGGTGTTTAAAGAGAAAATGGGAGAAACTCAATTAAGGGTTATTTTGGAAATACGAGTATAATCAGTTTTTTAAAAATTGATTATAAGCTGATTATAAATCAGTTTTTTATGAGAAAGGAAAGTGAATTATAATTTGAAAAGTAGATTATAATCCACCTCTCAAAAGAGGGCTAAGTAGATATGGGTTTAAGGGTCAGTAATTATTCATAGCACTAATTTAAGTGTTTTAATGGAATATTAATGATATAGTAAGAAAAAAAAAAAAAAGACAGACTAACAAATCAAAACTAAAACATCACATCATATTAAATAGGATTTACTGTCAACTCATTAAAGTTAGTTTTAGAATTTAAAAATTAAAATTTCAAAGTATTTTTCGTTTAAGGAAGTGGGAGATCCAAAGAAATAAAATAGGTATAGATAGCAATTCTCTTTTTCATTTTATTTATTAATCTCAATTTTGTTCAATTGATTACAATCATTAATATTTTTGATGAAAAATGCGCACACGAGTAGTCAATATCATGCTTTTAGTGGAAAAATTATAAACTTGCTTAATTAAATGAGGCAACTTTAGTAAATTGATGACTTTTTTTTGTAAAAAACTATTAAATTGACACAAAATTTAAAATTAAGAATGAAATATGGGTCAACTAAAATTGTGGAGGCCAAATGACACCCGACAAAATGCTTGTAATTTAGCCATTTTGGTTGTCCTTATATATGTATGTTCTTATGAATAAAATATATACATATATATATATATGTATGTTCAACTTTGTTGTTCCTATTTTACTATCAATGAAGTTCTTATTTTGCCAAAAACAAATGAAGGGCATATTTTATATAAAATTTAGAAAGCAATTATAAATAAGTAGTAAAATTTATTAATATAAATAAGAGTAATATTAGGGATTATGAAAAAAAATCATGAAGATGATTTACTTGACGAGAGTTACAATTTGAACAGTTCAAATTATTAAAAGAACCCGAATTGGGCTAAAAAAATAAAATAAAAATAAATAATCAATTGATCTGATAACAGTAATTATATGACTTTATATAATTTTTTTCAAAGAATAGATAAGCGTAATTTTATTTACCCAAATCTTTATGTATATTAATAATTAAATTATAATTTTTTTCATATATATATATATGTATTATTCTTTGTCTGACACCGTATCATTATCAATATTAATTTTTTCATGATGTAAAGAGTTTAGAATATAAATCTATCAATGGCCCTGTTTGGTAGGACTTATTTCCAGCTTGTTTCAGCTTTTAGCTTAATTTAAGCTATTTTGATGTGTGTAGTTCAGCTTAACAATACAGCTTATAACTTTTTATAAGTCAAAAATCAACTTATTCTTTGAGTGGGGGAGAAGAAACTTAATTTATAAGTTAAAAATCAGCTTATGTTCACAGCTATAAGCTATAAGCTGTTAGGCTATAAGTTATAATCACTTACTCACAGCTCTACTAAACGGGGCCAAAATAAGATGGGTGATGAGCTAAAACGACGGGGGCTCAAAGGCTCAAAGGCGCATTCTTTTTTAAAACAAATTATGTATCTAAAAATAAATAAATTAAAAAATTGTTTAGAACATAACATATGATACAAATATAAAATTTAGTGAGGTGTGAATTACACCTAGAACAAGTTAAAAAAATCTCATTCAGTAAAAAAAAAATTAAAAGTTAACTTTTAACCTATTTTAAGTTATATTATTTCTCACATAAAAATGTCAAAAAGGTTAAAAAAAGTAAAAAAATTAGCTTTAAACTAAAAAAAAGAACTTTTTTTTATTTTTTATTTTTCTGTTTTCAGCCAATGAGGCCGCGCCACGTCACTGGGGTATGTAGCATTGTTCATTTTTTATATCCAAAAAAAAAAAAAAAAATTCTACCCACAAATTTTAAATTCATAACTCATTTTTAATATTTATTTTTAGTACATTTCTCTTTCTGGGTATTTTTCATGCTATATTAGCAAAATTTTCTATTATTTTATAGTTTCAATGGGGTTGATTTTCTGTCGAAAATGCGGGGGAAGACTGTGATGTTTGTGGGCGACTCTCTGGGAAGGAACCAATGGGAGTCGTTGATTTGTATGACTTCAGCTGCGGTGCCTCAATCACGGATGCAAATGATGAAAGGAGATCCTCTCTCAACCTTCAAGTTCTTGGTGAGCGTGTGATTTTAATCGGACGGCTATTATCAATTAATTAATTCAATCAATCCCCTGATTTGGGTTTTGTTATGGTGAATTGCAGGACTACGGTGTAGCCGTGTCGTTCTACAGATCTCCCTATCTGGTGGACATTGATGTAGGGGAAGGGAAGAGGGTTCTAAAGTTGGATGATATATCAGAGAATGGGAACACGTGGAGGGGTGCAGATGTGCTGTCATTTAACACCGGTCACTGGTGGAGCCACAAAGGATCACTCCAAGGGTTAGTAATTTAATCCTGTTTTAGTTCAACTCTAATGATATATATGATTTTTTTTAAAAGTAAAAATAAAATTATATATAGCATTTTCTATTTAAGAAGGACAACAATGATATACAGCCACAAAAAAATTAACTAAAAAAGTAGTTTGAAAATTAAATTTATAAACTATATTCATGGGTGTTGGCCGGACCACACTTATCAAATTAGAATGTTTAAATTACACCAATCTCTCTTTATGTTTAGAAAAAATATATATTGAGTTTTACAAGTCTGTCATATTTATATTGTGTTCTTTCATAATTTTGATTCACATGACAATTAGCCATTGTCACAAGTCACTAGTTAATCGTATTAATGAAAAAACATAATATTATTATATACTTTTATTTTGAAAGGTTAGATGCAAATTAAATATAGGATAAATTATATGAATCTAGCCGGAGATTAAAAAAAATACTATGAACTCCATACGTTGGCTTAATTATACTGATTGTTATTTTAGTAAGATTTAAACGATTGGAACTAATACGAGTAAAATAAGAACATTTTAGTTTAAAAGAGCAATAATATAATTTTTCTGTTCATATGAGTAAACAAATTATTAAAAATAAATAAGTTAAGTATTATGTGAAAAAATTTAAAGGAATAATGCTATTATTTTAAATTTGTAAGGCTCAATACATTTTATCAAAATCTCATGGGTGGTTAGTGTAATTTACCTTAAAATATATGATAAATAGTTGAGGGATGATAATGTGTAGGTGGGACTACATGCAATCAGGAGGATCATATTATGAAGACATGGATCGTTTGGTTGCTTTGGAGAGGGGTCTGAGAACATGGGCCAGATGGGTTGACACCAATGTTGACACAAGTAGAACAACACTCTTCTTCCAATCCATCTCTCCTACCCACTACAAGTAATTATTCTCTCTCTCTCTCAAATTATTGTTTGTTGAATGCCTGCTCTAAAATTTAAGTGCAAATGCTTTTTGTTTATGGAGAAATTTTTTTTTTAAAAGACTGTAGGCTCCATTCATAATAGCTGTAATCAGATTCAAGAAAATGATAGGAGCTGTAAAGCCTGTAATTATGCACCACTTTGTCTATGGGGGCTTGTATTGTCAAACCCTATTGAGTTGAAAAAGATTAGGTGTACATAAATATGTCTAGTACAGATAAGACATAAATATTCATGTGAATATTTTGGGTTGTGTGTTTCCTTTTGTCAATTTTTCCTAATTGTGGGTAGATTTTTGATGTGGATAGGACTTTGTGTGAAGAAAAAAAATATGTGAATGAAATATAAGTTAATTTTATTTTAAATTTTTATTAAAATTTATAGTTCAAATGTAGTTTTTGTGCATGCAGCACGATGGCCCTTTTGGTAACACTATAAATAAGCTGTTTATCGATTTATTGAGGTCATATTACTTTTTTTATTTTTTTGTACATATTTTCATAATAAACAAAAAAGTTAACTCATAAGTCATACTCAAAACAACCTTGAGATTTTAAGCTGCTTTTCCTAGTTTTACCATCATTTCAATTTCTGGGATCAATCCGTTTATACATGTAGAATTATTCGAAGAAGCTCTGAGTTTACTTTTTTTTTTTCTTTTTTTTTTTTAAGTAACTTTTTGATTTTTGTAAAAATTTAAAAAGTTAATGTACTTGGAAAATTGCTGAAATAGTATTTTTTGTGAGTGAAAACAAATGTGGCATTTAGCTTTTCTAGCTGATGACAAACAACTTGGTAGCCTTCTTTTCTTTTCTTTTTTTGTAGAGCAAAAGCTGACTTTTTTCTCAACACCCAATCGCCCAATTAATTTCAAAAATTGGCATCATTTGAAAAATATTGAGTTTAAATTGAAAAAAATTAGAACTATAAAAATTAATTTGTTTTGAGTATCAAATTCTGAATTTTGTTTGTAATTTTTCTATATTGTTTTTATGGGATCCACAAGCAACACATGTTAAATTAATGTGCCGAAATTACTAAATAATTTAATTCAAAACCTTAGGTTTCGTTTGGGAATAAACTATTTTAGTAATTTTTTGATTTTTGACAAAAAAATGTGCAAAAAAAATAGAGAGAGTGATGTGACAACTTATAGTAACTTTTGACTTTTTGACTAAAACAGAAGGTTGCCACATGAAGCCGAGTAAGTATAAGTTTGAAAGTTGGTATAATTTAATAATGCAAGTATGAGTGGACCCCCAGATACCCAAAATAAGCTAAGAGACAGCTTCAAAAGAATCAAATTTAAGCTAGCTTTCTGCTTAAATTTAAACAGAAGTTTTTTGTCATGTAAAATGTATCACAAGCTTGGCCTAAGCACAATCTCAAATTTCGTTATTTTAATTTATTTTATACCTTTTTGGCCCAAACATCAGTCTAATTTTGCCTAAATTAAGCATCCATTGCCCTTCAAATTTATGAGGATTTGTGCTGATGCCTTGTCCAATTTGCACCGGTGACAGACCTGGAAATCATGCTTAGGGCTTTCCAAAATGGCAACAATTTTCTAATTATTTCATCATTATCGAAATTATCACGTCCTAAAAGATTCACTTTTAAATGTTAAAAATTGAAAATTTCATTAAACAACAATGATTTAGACCACTAAAAAATACACCACTAATAGCACTAATGCATTGGGAATGAAAAAAAAAAAAAGAAACAAGGCATAGAAAGTGGACGGGGCTCACTGCCACACCCTTAGTGCTCCTTCTAGTGCTCCATTTTTAGTGCTCTCAAGCATTTTTCTTCATTAAATTCACAACTAATATTTCCATAAAAAGGTCAGTGGTGCTGGTGCTGGTACACTGGTGCATCTCAGGCAAATGAATCTGCACTTTCCGTTTACAAAGGAACCAATTACAGAACCGAATGGTTCTGTGATCCTTTTCTGTGTTCCTAGACTTTTCTTGTCCAAATCGTCTCTTTTGAGGTGCAAAAAATACATATACTTGATCTATAGCACCTTTATCTTTTCTAATTCATGAGTTCTATGTTTTTTATTATATATAAATTTATAATGTTTTTTCCCACTTGGTCTGTCTGTTGTCAGTACAGTGTTTGTTTGTTTTCTTTCTTTTCCCAACCATGTGAATATTAATTATTAAAAAAAATTAATTTAAATGTTTCCTGGTCTGTGCAGTAACATGCAGCAATGGTGTTCACATTATAATTTTTAGTCCCAAATTTAGTTGGTGGAACCAAACATGTGCAATGTCTGAAGGGGACAATTTATGTTGTTCTTGCAACCAAACAAAAGAATAAAGTTCACTAATCTAATCTATGGGAAGTGACTTTTTTAATGGTTTTTAGGCTAAAAAATATGAGGCGAAAAAAAAAAAATGTTTGGGAAACATTTGACTTTGTATGAGTTGAAAACTTTTTCAATTTTTAGTGACTTTGTTGCTAAAATTATGCGTTCCCAAACAAGGCCTAAATATTCTCTGTATTATATATATATATATATATGAATTTAAGTTGTGTTTGGATTTATGAACATGATGGATTTGAAATAATTATTTGAAAATTTTCATCCATAGGATTATTCTTTCACAAAGATCTCATAAAATAGTTCTATTCTATTCTAATTTCCACTGCCACACCATTAGTGCTCCTTCTAGTGCTCCATTTTTAGTGCTCTCAAGCATTTTTCTTCATTAAATTCACAACTAATATTTCCATGAAAAGGTCAGTGGTGCTGGTGCTGGTACTGGTACACTGGTGCATCTCAGGCAATTGAATCTGCACTTCTGTGATCCTTTTCTGTGTTCCTAGACTTTTCTTGTCCAAATCGTCTCTTTTGAGGTGCAAAAAAATGCATATACTTGATCTATAGCACCCTTTATCTTTTCTAATTCATGAGTTCTATGTTTTTTATTATATATAATATATAATGTTTTTTCTCACTTGGTCTGTCTGTTGTCAGTACAGTGTTTGTTTGTTTTCTTTCTTTTCCCAACCATGACTTGGTCTGTCTGTTGTCAGTACAGTGTTTGTTTGTTTTCTTTCTTTTCCCAACCATGTGAATATTAATTATTAAAAAAAATTAATTTGAATGTTTCCTGGTCTGTGCAGTAACATGCAGCAATGGTGTTCACATTATAATTTTTAGTCCCAAATTTAGTTGGTGGAACCAAACATGTGCAATGTCTGAAGGGGACAATTTATGTTGTTCTTGCAACCAAACAAAAGAATAAAGTTCACTAATCTAATCTATGGGAAGTGACTTTTTTAATGGTTTTTAGGCTAAAAAATATGAGGCGAAAAAAAAAAAAATGTTTGGGAAACATTTGACTTTGTATGAGTTGAAAACTTTTTCAATTTTTAGTGACTTTGTTGCTAAAATTATGCGTTCCCAAACAAGGCCTAAATATTCTCTGTATTATATATATATATATATATGAATTTAAGTTGTGTTTGGATTTATGAACATGATGGATTTGAAATAATTATTTGAAAATTTTCATCCATAGGATTATTCTTTCACAAAAATCTCATAAAATAGTTCTATTCTATTCTAATTTCTCCTCTGTTAGTTTCTCAATCCTAGTAGCTTATAAAATTCACCTTGAATTCGTTCATTTGAAATTTGTTCATTCGAACAGAGCCTGAGTGACGAAGAACAAATTGTCAGAAAATGTGAAATTTTAGTGGCAACATGATTTCTCCACATTTAGTGACAACTTTATAGTCGGCAAGATAATTCTCATCCCCAAAACTCAATTTCCTAGCACCAAATTTATATGATTTCGATTATATCTGAATTGCAATCTTGATTACAGCCCAATGGAATGGAATGCCCGGACATCAACAAAGAGCTGTTATGGGGAGACCGTGCCGATGAGTGGCGACATAACCTACCCAGGGGGATACCTAGATCAAATAAAGGTGGTTGACTCGGTACTAAGTGAAATGAACAGCATGGTACATATGCTCGACATAACAACGTTGTCGGCAATGAGGAAAGACGCGCATCCCTCCATCTACAGTGGTGATTTGAACCCCGAACAACGAGCTAACCCTGACCACTCTGCTGACTGTAGCCACTGGTGTCTTCCTGGTGTGCCCGATACTTGGAACGTATTGTTCTACACGGCTTTGTTCTTCTAACAATTTTAGTAGTATCTTCTATAGGAATATGCCCCCGGAGATGGTGCTAGTTTTTATAGCTATTGATGTATGAAAAAGTCAAGAAATACAGGAATCGATCACGGAAATGGACACAACACTCTCACACGAGGTGGATTCCACTCCAATGTGAGAGGATTGTGTTCGGTTCTGTGATTGGTTTCTGTGCGAGTAGAAAAACTATTGATGTACACCCATATAGCCTTAGGATTGGATGCAAATTGCTCCTTTAGATATCACTCTTGTAAAATAGTGGCATTTGGGAATTGGGATGTTTATTATTTGTTAGGGGAAATAAGGCAACTTAATTCCTTGACTCAAATCTTAAAATATTACTAATGAATCATCTTTCTGTCCTTTCTTCCTTAATTTTTTTTTTTTTAATTTCTATTTTTGTTGAGGGGTTGTAGAAAGAATTGGTTTGACTGACCTTATGGTAATGTATGAAGTGTCCAAAAGACAAAACACAATTTGTGATGGTCACAAACAGGCCTCATGGAGGAAAGTCATTACTGAGAGGTATAAGGTTTAGGGTAGTGAATGGTTTCCATGAAATGTCATGTGTTTGGAGAAGTAATGTTGATTTGGATGCTTAAGGTTTGAGAGTTTATTTTCAAACAATCTGTTTGTAAAATCGGGAAATGGACAGATTCTGAAATTCTGGAGGGATGTATGAATAAAGTGATAGACCTGTAAAATTGTTATATCCAACACTGTTTATGGTTTAGTTTTTGTTTTAAAAAGCTCAAGAAGGAAATATTGGGAACCTTTTTGTTTGTGCTGAATTATGGGGTGTTTGGGAAGAAAAAAAATAGCCTAATTTAGGCGAAAATTCACAAAAAGATAAAATAGGCTAAAATAGCTAATAAGACAAAATATCACATCAAATCTATAATCATTTCAGTTTTTCTCTCACAAACATCACATCCAACCATAAAAAAATCCAATCATCTTCCCAAACACAAAAATTTTAGCCTACTAAAATAGCCAAAAACTAAAATAGCAACTTCTCAAACGAAGTCATGATCTCATTGGCTGTCGAGGAATGAATACCAAAGGAGAAGATAAACCTCTTTTGGAAAAGTGCTAGTAAAATGACAAACAGGATGAAAAGGAAGATCAGAGACTTGATGAATAAAAAGAGCTTGATCTAAACCATAAAGAAGAACTATACATGTTCTGAACGAGAATATGGAGGTGGTGATGATGAGATAATGGAAGAAGAATAGGATCAATTTCAACCCCTTTGGATTCCAAGAGGTTTTTGATAGGATATCACACAACTCAGAGCAACTGGAGCAGAGTAAGCTGCAGCAACATCAGTTCACTACAAGCAGTGCCAGTTCATCCAGTGTAACAGAATAAGCAGTGCCAGCTCATCAAGTGTAACAGAATAATAACTGTATTAGTTAGTGGTTGTAATTAGCTGTAGTTAGAGTATGTTGGGTTTAGAATTAGTTAGAACTAGAGTTAGTTTAGATGGTTATGAATGTATATAAATATCAATGTAATCTGTCATTGAAATAATATAATGAAAGTATAACATAGTAAATTCATTTCATTCTCTGAAATTCATCATGGTATCAGAGCTAAGCCTGCTCTAGCGAGCTTTAGAGATGTCATCCATGGCGTCTTCAACAACACCACCTACTCTTCCAGCCAATCTTGGTCTCTTGATTTCTAATCTCTCTTCTTTTGTCAATGTAAAGCTTGACTCAACAAATTTCATAATCTGGAAAACACAATTACAGAATATACTCAGAGCAACTGATCTTCTTGATATTCTTGATGGATCATCTTCATGTCCTTCTCCTTTTGTTCTTGATTCAACTGGAAAAGAGATACCTAATCCTGAATTTTCTAAATGGAAGATGATTGATAATCATCTTCTCAGCTGTGTCACTGCTACTCTCTCACCATCGATTTTCACTTCGGTTCTTCATCTCAAAACTAGCTCTGAGGTATGGCTAACTCTGAATAAGCGTTTTACCTCTCTTTCTAGATCTCATATCCACCAATTGAAGAATAAACTGAATTCGATTTCTAAGAAAACTGAGTCTATGGAACTCTACTTGAGTCATATCAAAGAATTGGTTGATCAGTTGCATCTTGCCTCAACTTCGGTTGATGATGAAGATATAGTTCTCATCACCTTGAATGGATTGCCAAGTGAATACGATGCTTTTAAAACTACTATTAGAGCTCGTTCTGAAAGGATTACTATGGATGAATTATCTTCTTTACTGTGTTTTGAAGCTTTACATATTGAAACTGTGTTCTGAAGCTTTACATATTGAAGAGAAACAAAAATCTTCTTCTGAGCTTTCTCTGGCCTATGCTGCTATGAAAGATAATGCTTCTGCTTCAAAAGGTTTTTCTACATATCATCATGGCAGATCTAACTACAAAGGAGATTCTCGAGGTAATTACAGAGGGAATAGGTCTGGTGGTAGATATTCTTCTTCTTCTAGAGGAAGGTATCAGTCCAAAAATCATAATCAAATTCGATCTACTTTTGGTTCAGTTTGTCAGATTTGTGGCAAGCCAAATCACTCTGCATTTGAGTGTTGGCATCGTATGGATCCTCATTTTCAGCAGTCAACTCAGTCTTCTCCACAGCATTTTCCTGCTTCATCTGGCTCTAAAGCTTACACTACATCCACCTCTGACGTTGCTTCCCAGAATTGTCTCTTCAGCCTTGGTATCTTGACTCTGCTGCCACAGATCATATTACTAATGATCTTGGTAATCTGACTACCTATCAACCTTACACTGGTTCTAAGAAAGTCACTGTGGCTGATGGTTCTCCTCTACCTATCCATCATACTGGTTCAGGTCTTTTACCTACTCCACATCATTCTTTCAAACTCAAAAGAGTGCTCCATGTTCCTTCTCTTTCTTCTAATCTTCTTTCCGTTCAGCAATTAGCCAAAGACAATAATTGTTCTATTACTTTTAATAATTCTGCCTTTTCTATTCAAGACAACAATACCAAAGCTACACTCCATAAAGGCTTCCATACGCATGGTTTTTATCATTTTCCTTTGCATTCTTCATCACAAGCATTTCACAGCACCACTGCTTCTCCAGATTCATTCATGCTTTGGCATCAAAGGCTCGGCCATCCCTCAGCTTCCAAGTTTCAACATCTTCATAAGTTTTTGAATGTACCTTTAGGTTCAAATAAAACTTCATTTTTTTGTATTGATTGTTCTATGTCTAAGAGTCATCGGTTTCCTTTCAACTTGTCTAATTCTCATGTAAATCAACCTTTAGCTCTTATTCATAGTGATGTTTGGGGTCCTTTTCACCCTGTTGGTTCTACTTCTATCTATAAATACTATGTGTTGTTTGTTGATGATTACTCTCGCTTTACTTGGCTTTATCTGTTGAGTTATAAAAGTGAGGGTTACTCCAAGTTCTTGGAATTTAAATCTTTTGTGGAAAAACAATTTGGATTTCCTCTCAAAATCCTTCGAACAGATGGTGGTGGAGAATTTCTTAATCATCAAATGGAACATTTTATCAAAACCGATGGCATTTTGCATCAACAATCTTGTCCTCATACACCCTCTCAAAATGGTGTTGCTGAGTGGAAACACAGGCACATTACGGAAACTGCTATTGCTCTTCTCCATCAGTCTTCTTTACCACTCACCTACTGGTTTGATGCTATTGCCACTGCCACTTTTCTTATTAATAGGCTTCCTAGTGCTTCATTGTCTCATGCCTCCCCTTTTCAACTTTTATTTCACACTTCTCCAGATTATTCTTTGCTTAAAGTGTTTGGTTGCCTTTGCTATCCTTGGCTTTGATTTTCTTCCACTCATAAGCTATAACCTAAATCTGCGCCTTGTGTATTTTTGGGTTATCATCCATTCATTAAAGGTTACAGGTGCTTCAATTTACAAACTGGTCACACTCTTATTTCTAGACATGTTGTTTTTCATGAAACAATTTTCCCCTTTTCTACTCCATCATCTACATTTACTACACCCACTCAATCTACTCTCTCTTCCTTCTTTTGGTCTTCTTCTCCACAGCCTCGGCATCCCATGCCTCCTTCACAGTCTCCTCTGCTGCCGTCACAGCCTCTGCCTACACCTTTATCACCTTCCCATCCTAATCAATTGTCCACACAGCCTGTTCAGTTATCTCAGTTGCCTCCACAGTTCCAGCCGCCTCGACTCCCACAGCAATCTCCACTGCTTCAGTCGTCTCAACATGCACAGCAACTTCGGCAGTCTCCCTATACACAGCAGCATACACAGCAGCTTCAGCAGCCTCTTATTCCTATTAATTCTATTGCTATTCCTTTACCTCTTCATACTCCCTCTTCTACTTCTAACACTCATAGTATGCAAACCAGATCCAAGTCTAAACTTTCTTCTTCTTGTTGTTTTCTTACTTCTAGTCCTGCTTCCTCAACTGAACCTCTTTCTTACAAATCTGCTCTTACCTCTCCTGTTTGGTTTCAAGCCATGTTAGATGAATATTCTGCCTTGAAAATGCAACACACTTGATCCTTGGTTCCTCTTCCACCAAATAAATAAGCCATTGGGTGTAAGTGGGTTTTTAAACTTAAGAAAAATTCTGATGGTACTGTGGCTCGGCATAAAGCCCGCCTTGTTGCTAAGGGATTTCTTCAAGAACATGGCATTGATTTTCAGGACACTTTCAGTCCTGTTGCCAAATAGCCCACTATCGCATTCTTTTGTGTTTGGCTTTGCACTCTAACTGGTCTTTAAAGCAATTGGACATCTCCAATGCCTTTCTCCATGGTCGTTTGGAAGAGGAGGTCTATATGGTTCAACCTCCCGGCTTTATTGATCCTTCTCACCCACAGTTGGTCTGTAAACTTCATAAGGCTTTGTATGGCCTCAAACTGGCACCTCGGGCTTGGTATTCCACATTTTCTTCCTTTCTTATCTCTCAAGGTTTTGTCATGAGTCAATGTGACCACTCCTTGTTTGTTCACAAAACTTCTTCCACTATTACCTACTTGCTCATTTATGTTGATGACATACTTCTCACTGGAAATGACTCTATTTATATTCAATCCTTGTTAACACATATGCACCAGGCTTTCTCCCTGAAAGAGTTGGGTTCCCTTTCCTATTTTCTGGGCATTTCTGTTACTTCTTCTTCCCTTGGTTTCTTTCTTTCCCAGCCTAAATATGCTTCTGAACTGTTGGTAAAAGCTGGTATGGTGGATTGTAAACCTTGTGCCACTCCGGTCTCTAGCAAGCCTTCTTCTTCTACAGCTGATGTTCTTCCTTGCTCTAATCCCTTTCTCTATCCCAGTATTGTTGGCGGTCTTCAATATTTGACTATTACCCGGCCTGAATTAGCCTATGCTGTGAATCTAGCTTGCCAATTTATGCATTCTCCTTCTAATGCCAATTTTTCTGTTGTCAAGCGGATTCTCCGCTATGTAAAGGGTACCTTGTCTCATGGTCTCACCTTTTCGCCTAGCTCATTTCAGTTGCAGGCTTTCACAGATTCAAATTGGGCTGGTGATCCTTTAGATCGGCATTCTACTTCCGGCTATTGCATTTTTCTTGGGTCAAATCTCATCTCCTGGTCCTCTAAAAAGCAGGCTACTGTGTCCCGTTCGTCCACTAAAGCTGAATATCGGGCTTTGGCTCATACTGCTGCTGAGGTCACTTGGTTGCAAATGCTCTTAGCTGAGTTTGCCATTTCTCTTCCCTCTCCTCCTATCATTTGGTGTGATAATCAATCTGCTCTTTCCTTGCTGCCAATCTAGTTTTCCATAGTCGATCCAAACACATCGAGGTCGATTGCCATTTTGTGCGAGAAAAGGTTGCTCCCATCAGTTAGTTCTTCGCTATATTCCTACTTTGGATCAACTTGCGGATGTGTTCACCAAACCTCTTTCCACTACCCGGTTTCAATTTCTAACAACCAAGCTTTTGGTGTCTCCTCTACTCATTCGCTTGCGGGGGAATGATAGGATATCACACAACTCAGAGCAACCGGAGCAGAGTAAGCTACAGCAACATCAGTTCACTACAAGCAGTGCCAGTTCATCCAATGTGACAGAATAAGCAGTGCCGGCTCATCAAGTGTAACAGAATAATAACTGTATTAGTTAGTGGTTGTAATTAGCTGTAGTTAGAGTATGTTGAGTTTAGAATTAGTTAGAACTAGAGTTAGTTTAGATGGTTATGAATGTATATAAATATCAATGTAATCTGTCATTGAAATAATATAATGAAAGTGTAACATAGTAAATTCATTTCATTCTCTGAAATTCATCAGTTTTCTTGAGAGTGGTGCATATCAAAACCTATTAACAAATTTTTCCGGGAAGATCAGAACAATAAACTTGATGTTTAATAGATAAACCTGGAAAAAGATGAATGAAAATAGGTTTACTGATAAGGGTAATCAATCTTTCTGGGGAAAACGAAAGTCTGATTGGTTTTCACACTCGCAAGCAAAAGGTCATTACGCAAAGGAACGCCGACAGAAGCAGACACGAGATATCATGCTCAAATTCAATGGAATGAAGTGCTTGAAATAATTATCAGTGTAAAATGATTTTCTGTCAAATATTTGATGCAATTAGAAGATTGAAGATTTAGGACTGCCTAATTTGATATTATTGTTTTCTGTTTTGCATAGCAACTGGAACGAATTTCTGTGTTTGCTTAGATCAGTACTGGAAAATGGAATCATGAGGGATACGGATACAACTTTGAAACCATGTCATTGTCACTTCAGTGATATAGTATTAATTAGTGATGATTCTATTGCATCTCACAAAATAAAAATCATATTAAGCGAAAATAGAGTCCAATTCGATGAAATCAATTACATGACATAAATTACATACTTCAAATCCTAGAACTTAACCAAATACAAGACATTGATCAAGGGTTCTACACCACCACATCAAACATAATTCACTTTTACATACCAACTAACAAATTTTACACACTGGGATCTCTAAAAGTCCCATGTACGCTTCAATTTCTACCATCAAAGATAAAAACACACATGAAAACAACCCCTGAAATGGGAAATATTAGCTTTGGATCGTAACTTCTGGAACAGTACTCATCATCCTTGGCACATTATCAATAATCTCCGGTGCCAATTTCCCATTGGTAGCAGAGGGTAGTTGTTGCTCATAAGCTGAGAGATGGACTCCAAGTGCAGCCCTACCTGAAGGGTCAAGGTTGTTAGACCAAGAAGCATCCCACTCGATCGCTTTGGCCGTGCTGCAAGCCACGCTTGCACCACCTGGGACAGTCAGCCTGGCCGGGTTCTGCAGATCCATAAAATCTCATTAATTTTCTGAGATTAGTATAACTAAACGTAGATATGAGGAATTTGATTTGAATTGATTCACCTGTGGGAAGAACCTCTCAAAGATCATTCTGTAGTAGTAGGCTTCTTTTGTGGTTGGGGTATTATGAGGGAAGATATGTGCAGCATTAAGTATCATTCTATCGGTCACCTGAAAGCGAAAATGAGCATTAAAAATGTGCCATAATAATAAATTGTTGCTTCGAAAATGAGCATTAAAACAGTCATAGATGAGTACATGTTGTGCGGCTTGGGATTTAAGCCCGTCAATCCAACTGTAGCCGACCCCATCGCTGAATTGCTCTTTCTGCCTATAGAGAATGTGCTGAAATGTATGAAACATGACAATGTTAGTCTAAGTGATTGATCTAAGAAACAAACATTGAATTAAGATTTGTCAATTCTTTACCTTTGGCAGATAGGGGTGTTCTTCATCATCAAAGGCCCTCCTCAAAACCCACTTCTCCATTCGCCCTTCTTCCGGCTTAATCTGGAAGGTGTTCGAGAAAATTAATTTGCTTTTTATTTTTGGGTACCAAACTATCAAACAATCAATCCAATCATTTTCTTACCATTTTCCACTCGGGGTCGATGCTCATTGCAACATTGATGAATTCTTTGTCCAAGAAGGGGACACGGGCTTCCAATCCCCACGCAGATGTTGCTTTGTTAGCCCTCAGGCAATCGTATTGATGAAGTGCTTTTATCTACAAACACGAACAAAAAAGGGTAAAATTTCACTGTTATCAGTACAACCTTCTCAGTTCCAGCCACTAGATATGGAAAGGCCGTTGGGCATAAAAAATTTGTTATTACCTTGCGACATGTTTCACGGTGGAACTCTTCCTTGTTGGGTGCCTTGTGGAAATACAAATACCCACCAAAAATCTCATCTGAGCCTTCACCAGAAATGACCATCTTCACTCCCAATGACTTAATTTTACGCGACATGAGGAACATAGGCGTGCTTGCCCTGATTGTCGTCACATCATATGTCTCAATATGGTAAATTACATCTTCAATGGCATCGATACCATCCTGTTACATTCCAAAGTCAAAAATTTTATGGAAAAACCAAAACACTTGAGGTTGCGAAGATTATTTTCTGTATTGATACCTGGACAGTGAAGGTAAACTCATGGTGAACTGTTCCCAAATAATCAGCAACTTCTCTTCCAGCCTTCAAATCTGGTGAACCCTGTTTGCCAAAAACACATCCTAGTATGAGAATTAAAGTAGTTCCTTTGAAACTATACTGTAATTTGTTGTAATCATGAAAGATTTGAGTACTCACCTCGAGTCCAACACAAAAGGAATGGAGTTGTGCCCCCCACTGCTTGGCCGCCTTTGTGCCAGCCAAATACCGGGCAGTGATGGAAGCCACCAAGGATGAATCTAGGCCTCCGGATAGGAGGACTCCGAAGGGAACATCAGTCATTAGCCTCTTAATCACAGCCTGCAAATTTTGCAACCAACACATGTCATTTTTTATTTATTTATTTATTTATTTTTGTTGGGGTGGATAAGTAAGCATTTTTATTATCAGAAGACTCACATTTTCAAGAGAGCGCCTTAGCACGAGTGGCTCATATGGGGTAGATGGAATGGCCTCGGAGAACCAGGAAGGGTTGTACCATCTCCGGAGGGAGCCTTCTTTGCTAGAGTACATGTGACCAGGTGGGAATGTCTCGAAATGTTCACAGTCATCATTGAGGCCTTTTAATTCAGATGAAATCCAAACCGAGCCTAAAGGAAAACAGGACAAATCATGGGTTATGAAGATTAGAGATGAATATTATTTAGATTCAATTCAATTTATGAGAAGATCAAATTATGATGTGGTACCATCAAGTCCCCATCCAATGTAGAGGGAAGTGATGCCAATGGCGTCGCGTGCAGCAATGAAGCTGTTGTTGCGAGTGTCGAGTAAGACAAAAGAAAACATTCCATCCAACATGTCCACAAACTCTTCTCCATACTCTTCATACTAAAGGAAATGAGATTGAAGGTGACAGTTAATTCGGTTAACTTCAAACCAAGTTCTTTTAACATAGATCATAGAAAAAACAGAAAACAATTACTAATAATAATAATAATCTTATGGTGATGATTAGAGTACTGACCAAGTGTGCGATAACCTCACAATCACTGCCAGTGCGGAACTTGTGATTAGGCAAACGCTTGCGTAGTTCTTCATGGTTGTAAATCTCCCCATTCACCTGGTTCAACAACACATAATAGTAACCTCTCCATCAAATCAAAATATCAAATCAAAATTGGACTCAAATTTTAGAAAATTACAAAGGAAAAAAGGCATGCATATACTCTTAGGCTGTGTTTCATTCACGGATAAGGGTTCAGATTGGACTAAATTGGCTTGGGAAATATTATGTTATCTGACTTTCTATTTAGATGAAATAATGTCGAGATATGTGAATCTTGATGTATGATTTAATAATTGAGAGTGCATAGAGATGAGATAACAGAAAGAAATTGAAGATAAACAATTAACTCAAATGACTTTTTGGTGAAAGATTACAAGAACCCCGTCCCAAAATTAGACATCTCATATTGTTAACTGATAAGATGTCAATGAGTTGGTAAGTTAAACTAACACATTCATCAAACATTCAAAAAATCCCAAACCACCACCAAAAACCTAGAAGTACAACCTTCAACCATGCTTAAGTTCATCACATAATGAACGTGTTTAGTGTAATTTTTTTAAGCTAGAAGTTAATAATCAAAATGTAAAATTTAAAAGCATTTTTTAAATTTCTAAATAATCATTTTTTTTTCCAAACCATTTATTTAAGCTATTTTTATTTCACAAATTGTAAGCTAAAATTGCACTAAATATTTGCCCATAAACTTTTAAAAATAAAAAATAAAAAATAAATTTTTTTAATAAACAACACCAATCAAATAGAATAGCTTGTCTAGCCTAATCAAATCTCGAGTCTAAGCTATACCAAATAATAATGACAAAAGAAACTAATTTGTAAAGGGACAGAAGGGTACCGTGACAACAATCTTTTTGTCTTCATTGAAGAGAGGTTGATCACCAGACGCAGGATCTACAATTGCCAGCCGTTGATGTGTCAAGTAGAAATCACCATGATGATATAGCCCACTCCAATCTGGCCCACGATGCTTCAATCTATACCCAAAAAGACCATACAAAAAGTACCAAATTTCATTTTTCCATTTTCTTGTCAAATCAGAAATAGATACACCCACCGGTCACATATTAACTTTATAGTATCCTAAAACGAAATCATTTTGTGTAAGGGAAGGAGAAGATGATATGGGAGATTTTCTTTTTTTTTAAACATATTTTTGGACAGTATAAATAATGCACTACAAAGGATTCAAATTCTTAAATTCTATTCCGAGAAAGAAAATTATTTGATATATAATACATACCGTATGCAACCCTACTATAGAATTATGTAAATTTCACGAATTTACATCTTACAAAATTTTTACACAAAAATTTTTATTAGATAATTAACAATAATTAAATGTCAATTGAGTTCTATACACAAACTAGAACAGTTTTTCTTAAATAATCGTCATAATATTTTAATGAATCCCTATTTTTTTCATTTACAATCGATGGCAATATCCCCTGTGAGAGAAATGTTATAATATACATTATAATACGCACTCCTTAAAAAATATGTATCATATGCACCCTTTTGTGTATTTTATGGTGTATGTTACGATTTTTGTAATAAATATTATGTAATTTTTTTTAGTAGAGTTATAATAATTTGTGATTCAAAAATGTCCACTTTTTGTAGTAATGTTATGTATTTTTTTATCTAAATATTTCTAACTAAAGAATATGTGATGTTACTAAAGAAATGAGTAATTTTATTTTTGAATCACAAATTATCGTAATTTTATCAAAAAAAAATATATAACATTTATCACAAAAATATATAATATACATTAAAAAAATATATAATAAAAATACACATGACATACAACTTTTAAGGAGTATTTGCAAACACGATTGACATTGAGATGATTGTATAGGTGTGAGTTAAGGATACGAACCACCTTTGAGACATTGCACCCAATAATTTTTTCATTTAAATCGTACTTTGTGGGTCATGAGGGTCCCAAAATATAAACAAATTTCTGATTCAAAAGCCATGGAGAATTGATTGTTCGAAGCAACCCCACATTTTTTTTTCAAGAAACATAAGACCTGAAGCCATGACAAATTAGATCCCACTCTCACATCCACAAATTCCATGATAAAGATTAGAATGAATGTGAAAACCCATCCAAAAGAATGTGAATTTCATTACCATGAAATATTAAAAAAAATTTATATAAAAAACCATCCAAAAGAATCAAAGCTTCAGCTTAAAAATATGAAGAAAAAAAAAAATTAATTGGCGAAAATCAATGGTTAGTTATTAAATAACATAGCAATGGTAGCTTGAAGAAAATGATTAGACACATGATAGAGATGGGGAGAAAATGTAAAAGGAAATTGCCTGCGGGAGAGCTCGAGGACGCGAACCCTTTTGGCCTGGGAGTCGTCGGAGCAACCCAAAACTGCTAGTATTCCACACATGATTATTACTCAATTTGTTTTTGTTTTTTTTTTCTTTTGAAATGATTCAAACTTACTAGATGATAAGAAAGCGAGAGAAATCTAGAGAGAGAGAGAGAGAGAGAGGGGATCGAAACGAATCAAAGTGCAGAGGAGAGAGGGAGAGGGAGAGAAAATTGGAGAGAAGGAAGGGAGTATGAACTGTTTTTTTGAATGAGTACCGGGAGAGTGTATTGAAATCTGCTTGGAGAGCCACGTACTTATAGCAATTGGGTTGGCCTTTTGTGCCTGAGATTTTTTATTTTTATATTTTTTTTAATAAGACCTAAGAATATTTATACTCTTTAAAAGAATCATGTTGCTATTATAGCTAACAAGGTTAGAAACTCACATTTTGCATTTATAAATGTAGTTACAATAATATGGTAAGAGTGGTAGGTGTCATATCATTGAGCGTTTAATTAATCAAAAATTGATACTTATCAAATTACATCATTTTGGATTGAATTGTGAAAAATTGATGAGAGTCTCAAACATTTTGTATGACTAATCTCAATTATTTTTATTTTTTTCAATGAGCTAGCTATTTTAATAAGCAATAAAGATTCGGACCCCCTTTGAGGGTCATCCCCATGACTCCCTTTGCCTTTGATTGGTCAAATTATTATTATTATTATTTATTTATTTATTTATTTTTCTCTTCTCTCCCTATCACCGACTTCCACGTGTGTGTGGGGGTGGAGAGTTTGAGGGGGTCTTAATCATGGCCCTTTAATAAGATTTCTCCAGATTAGATTACATTTATACTATGTTTGGTTAGAAAATTTGAGAGAAATTTAAAAAGAAAAATGAAATAATATGACTCAAAATAAATTAAAAATTAATTTTTAAGCAAGTTCCAAATTAGGCCATACCAAATTATCATCAACCGGCGACGTTTCTCCGCTTCAATTTTGTTCATTCCCACTCTACCGACTCTATGCGGTGATCCGGAGCTGAGGTATTCTCTGATGCCACGTGGTTCTGTCTCAATTGCTTTGTTTTTTGGTCTTCTTATAAAGTGCTTTTAGAAAAAAAGAAGACAGCTTGGGTCTTGTTTGGATGATTAATTTAGTTGTTATTTAATTTTTTTTTTTTTTTGGTGTTGGTTTTTAATAAATTTTTTTAATTAATTTAATAAATTGATACTTATCAAATTACATCATTTTGGATTGAATTGTGAAAATTTTATGAGGGCTTCAAACATTTTGTATGACTAATCTCAATTATTTTTATTTTTTTCAATGAGCTAGGTATTTTAATAAGCAATAAAGATTCGGACCCCTTTGAGGGTCACCCCAATGACCCCCTTTGCCTTTGATTGGTCAAATTATTATTATTATTTATTTATTTCTTCTCCCCTTATCACTAACTCCCACGTGTGTGTGGAGGTGGTGGGGTGGAGAGTTTGAGGGAGTCTTAATCATGGCCCTTTAATAAGATTTCTTCAGACTAGGTTACATTTATACTGTGTTTAGTTAAGAAATTTGAGAGAAATTTAAAAAGAAAAATAAAATAATATGTCTCAAAATAAATTAAAAATTAATTTTTAAGCAAGTTTCAAATTAGGCCATACCATATTATCATCAACCGGCGACGATTCTCCGCTTCAATTTTATTCATTCCCACCCTACCGACTCTATGCGGTGATCCGGAGCTGAGGTATTCTCTGATGCCACGTGGTTCTGTCTCAATTGCTTTGTTTTTTGGTCTTCTTATAAAGTGCTTTTAGAAAAAAAGAAGACAGCTTGGGTCTTGTTTGGATGATTAATTTAGTTGTTATTTAATTTTTTTTTTTTTGGTGTCGGTTATTAATAAATTTTTTTAATTAATTTAATAATTATAATCACATAATTTTATCATATTTATTTTAAAAAAGCAGAGAAAAGTATGATTTTAAAAATAGTTCATTCATTTTTTAAGTTAAATGTAATAAAATTATGGTTAATTACACAAAGATTTTTTCAATTATTATATGAATATGTACATATTGATCCTTTTCTCTTAATTTTAAAAATCGTATAAATACATTCCTTTTTGATGTAGCTTGGAGGGTCAAGACAGTTAGCCTAGTGATCGATGTGGCTATCCTTTCAGACAATAAGAAAGTCAAAGGTTCAAGATTTAAATCGATAGAGCGATTGTGGTCCTTTTGTACTAAAATAATCCTACCCCAATATATATATATATATATATGGTTAGTTCAAAATATATATATATATCGTCTTCCGGGGATGAAGGTGTTACATTTTCAATTAAAATTGTCGAAATATATGGATTTATAAATGAGACGGTAAAATAATATTCGTTAATAGTTAAAATAATCTTAATCTTTGTATAATTAACTCATACAATTATAAGATTATAATTATCTAATTAATTTTTTTTTTCTTTTTTTAGATGATCTACATGACGTAGATCCTCAACGTGGGCCTATGGGAAACTAGAGACAAATCACTGTAGTTAGAAAAATCGAAATACATAAGTGAGTTATGTTTTGTTTTTTAAATATTTAATTTGCTTGGCAAAGGTTTTTTTTTTTTTTGCTTTTTAGGCTAAAATTTACAAAAAATATAAAATAGACCAAAATAATTAATAAGACAAAATATCACATCAAATTCATAATTATTTTATTTTTTCTTTTACAAACATTACATTCAATTATAAAAAAATTCAACTATCTTCTCAAATACAAATATTTTAGCCTATTAAAATAGTAAAAAATAAAAATAACTTATTAAAATAACCAATTTTCTAAAGGAGGCCAATATTCTATCTATACAATTTTTGCTGCATGATTGATTTTGAGCACCAATAAAATAATTACATACCCTTTTATGCTTGAACAATGTTATTAGGATTACATTAATGTATTATATTTAATGATCTTATGTGAGCCTTATCTAACACTAATCACGTTATTAGTTTGCTATCATGGTTAAATTTATTTATTATTTAATTTGCATGACATTTTAAATTTCAATGAATTATAAATATAATATATAAACGATTGAGTCTTCAGTAATAACATGTTATATAATACATAAATTTAATACACGATTTGATAATCAAAACATTATCTAAAATAAATAAAACAATTGAAGTTATCAGATAATGTTCGATTGGTGAGATGTAAATTGTTACATCATCATCCTTAAATTAATTTTGAAATATTGTAACCTTAACATTATATTATAATAATAATCATGGCATGTCTCCAAAGGGACGGCACAGGTAATTTTTATTATTTATTTTTGGAACTTGGACACGTAAGCATTATCCATTCAGAAATTCAACGTGCTGAGTCAGTTCCACTTCTATTAAATTTTTGACAACGACAAAGTCAACAAAATCGTTCTCTTTTTTCTACGTCCAACCGTATATTACAAGGACCTATGTGGATGATTCCTTTCCTTCGGGGTTTTTTAAGGCCTCGTTTGGCACAGCCTGGCGTCGGATTAATTCCTTTGTAAATATACAGAGGGGAAATGACTTCCTTGGTATTACTGTCCCCATATATTTTATTTTGTGAGCTCTATCTTAAGTTCATAAAGATAATTCGAATCTTCTATTTTATAAATTCAACAATAAAAACATTTATTAAAACATGAATAAATTATATTTTAAAAAAATAAAAAAATGAATAGCAACTATAAATTTAAACTTAAATCGCCCGTTTTATAAAAATAAAATGAGATTTTTGTTCATTTGTTCATTGATAAGTTGATTTTTTACAAAGACAATCTTTATTGTAAGATTTATGAAATGGATTTTTTAAATTATCGTTGTGACTCAAAATAAGACCAATAAAATAAAATGAAAAAAAATAATGATATAAAGATGAGTCATAATTCATATCCAGAATAATAGTGGATAGTCCGGTTGTTTTCATTCAGTTATCTAAGGAGAGCTTTTTTGCTACGGGATTGATACTATTTAACAACTCCATCAATCAAATTAAAATAATGACACAAGTAACTATCCTTTTGAATATGATAAAGTACAATGGGCTACCGTAAGATATAGGGAAATTACAAGATAGGGTGGCAGCGTGCCCGACTCAGTCACATGTATGATCTAAAGTAAAAAAATTAAAATTAGGTTTTTTTTTTTCTTTTTCTTTTTTAGGTTAAGAATATATTGAAATAGACTTTCACAAGAGATGAAATAGTACAAATTTGATGAAAGGATATTGGATCTTTTTTTACTAAAATTTTCGTCAAATTTAAATTTGATGCAAGATTTGGTAAAATATTGGAAATGCTTTAATCCAATCCATTTATTATTTCACATTATCATGTCGTGTTCATGTATCTTGTCAATAAATTTTATTTTTAGTTAAAAATGTGAAGTGTATGAAAAACTTAGATATTTTCCCTATAAGTTAAATTTAGTGAAATTATTCATAAGAATATTTTATTTTAACTAAATTTGATTTTCTTAATTTATGAGTGTGAGAGTGGAAAATAGACTTTTACTGGTACACAAATGATAGCAATCTCTACTAAATCATTATTTTTTTTTCACCAATTACACAAATGAATGTATGAAATTGATAGAGCCAATGTATGAAATTGATAGAAATTTTTTTACCAATCTCACATGGGTGTAGAGCCAATGTATGAAATTGATAGAAAATTTGACAATCTTAGTTTGGAAAGCTATTGATATTTTTTGTTCTTTATTTATTTTTTATTTTTTGTTTTACTGATAAGATTTCAACTCAAAATGAAACCTTTTGTTATACCGAGGCCTTAAGCAAGTGCATCACTAGCAGCCTCCTGAAGTCAGCCCTGGGTGGCGATGACAAAGTTGGAAAGGTAAAAGGGTGGTGCTAGCAGCTTTGCAGTGGGGGAGGATGGTGGCAGCTTGTAGAGCTAGAATAGGGGAGGAAGGTGACTGGCGTTGGCCGGAATTAGCAATTGAGGCATTCTCTACTTAAGGAGCTGAGTGCGTGTAAGAGAGCGAGAAACATTATTAATGTTTGAGAGGTTTGAGTATAATTATGTCAAAAATTTAAAATTACTTAATTTTATATGTTGGATAATTTTCACTGTATTTGAATAATAAATTCTGTTGTGTATTTAAAAACAAACAGAATATATAAGAAATAAAGAAAATGAGAGAATTTATTTGATTGCAAAAATCAAACTAGAAAGAAAATAAATAAATAAAAACAGATTTTATTTTGTTACAAAAACAA